ATTTCTGCTGAAAGAAAGGAATATTTCAGCATCTGCTGAAATATGTCAGAATTATTTAACTTTATTTAACTATTAGTCACTGCAATTAAGATGACTCACAATTAATCAGATTAGCACTGAAGGTAGCTAAAGTTTCTCTTGCAATGTATAGTACTCAAAATGCAGAATTAGTTTTAGGCCACTATCATAGAAATCAATGGATCAGTATTTGATGAGAAGTCCCAAGGAAACAGGCAGACAACAGAACACTGCAGTATTTGTGAAACAAAACCAGGATCACTTCAGGTCCACGAATATAGTATACAGAGTTTCAAAGCAGGAGTTAATAATACTACTGTTTCCCCATCTGAGTTCACCTTATTGCTTCTTTATACGAAGAACAGGAAATAAAGCTACAGCACAAGAGAGCATTTTGTGATTTCAAATAATAATTTAACTTCAGTGACATCTCTTTAGGCAAATTCTTCAAGTAACAGGTCTGCATCCACTGTAGATTCAACCTTGCATTTCATTGAAGAGTCATATCCCAATACTCCTCAATATCATCATTTGGGAGTTGAGGACCTGCTGTCTCCAGTTATGTTGGTGACCTAGGCACAAGTGGGTTCTGTAGCTGTAAAAATTTCTCTTCAGGAGCACCACCAGAAAATACTACGCACTGATTACTCCCAGACTGAAAGAAAAAAGACTTTCTATGTCTCTCTAGCCCAGCTTTCTCTATGGGTAGTATGGAAAAAACAATTAGATCTCCTGCCTGAAGTTCCTGGGTTTTCTAAGTTTGTCAGCTGTCTCAGACACACAGGGAAGTCTCTGACCTCTTATTCAACAGGCTATTCCTATCCAGGCATTTCTGAAATTTTTGGTTCTTTCTTGTGCTTCATTCTTTAGGTTGTCTGTCAAAAGCCATAAGCAGCTGTAATTAAACATGTTTCTACTGAACTCCATACTGTTGTCTCAAAAGAAGATTTTATTTTTGGTACAATTTTTCTCTCTGTTCAAGAGACAAATCTACATATTCAGTTAGTCTTCAGTTCATTGATTCAGGTGGAATGGGAGATGCAAATCCCTACTTTGTCTACAAAATGAGATCTTGGAGGCATAGCAGTTCTATAAAGATATCAGATCAATTTCAGGATAAGATAATTCAGATGGTGAAAAATATTAACAAATTAAAAACAAACTAAAAACATCATCATGCCACTATATTAATCCCTAGTTTGTTGTGTATTGAATGATCTGCACATGCCTCAAAAACTCTACAGCTGATGAGGGAAAAAGTAAGACCAACTCTGAGCAAAGGTATGAACTAGCTTCCACACAAACAATTATTGAACAGGTTAAGGTTATTCTGCCTGGAAAGGAATATAGTGGAAAATCAACGGAATCAAACAGGGGATAAAAGTTATTTTCAGATTCAAAGACTTCGAATACGAACTCAAATTAACACAAAGTTACAAAATGAAGGTTCATAGTTTCTTTTGGCAAACATTTCTACAGTTTAACTGTACCTGAACCATGTATTCTGAGAATTTACATGGGTTTAAAAGGTATTGAATTAAAGACTATTAAAAACAAAATCATACCTTTTGGCTCACAAATGGCTAAGTCACAGAGAGTATTCTGAGGAAGTATCACTCTATATGTACTTCTTCTTGCATACTCCCCTAAGGATCTACTGCTGGTGACAATGTACTGTGACAGAAGGATCTTTAGCAATTCTTAGCTGATCAGGCACATCTCTGTACTACTACACATGTACAGATACTCTGTTTAGCATACTGACTGGGGTACTCCCAGCACAAAAAGCTTGGACCTTAAGGAAGTTTTGTATTAAAAAGTTATTTCATGATTTATCAGTCTTTAAAAAAAATAAGACCCTTCTGTTATCCTGTGTCAGAAGAAGGAACAAGGTTGTTTCCTACCCAGTTTTGCTAACTGGTACATGGTTTAACTTGGTTTCCTTTTGACCTAGCAGTTCTCTTAAAACGTAATTTCAAAATGTGTATAATTTGTTAAAGAATAAAAGCAAGCCACCTCCCTGCCAATTCAGTTGCTTTCTTTCTTCTCATTTGAAACATTAGGTTTTTCTACCAGCTGACATTTTGCCATGCTGCATCACTGTCATGTGATAAATTCAATCAAGGGCACATAACAACCACTTTAAAGGCTAACACCCTAGGCAGCTGAAGTAGCTAAAAGTCAGATCAACATAAGGATCCACATTACAAAGGTCACTATCTCTAGAACATAAACGAACTGCTTGCACAATCCAAAAGACATAAGTTTTTTGCCTCTATTGTTTCAACACAGCCCTTCTGCAATACACTCTTAAAATCATAATTGAACTAACACATCAAACCAATAGAACACTTATGTCTTGCCCAGGTCTGTCTCTATAAATTTTCATGACCAGGAATGTGTCATTAAGTAGACAGAGTATTAATCACGTTCCACTGTGACTTTGCAATATACAAGAAATATCACTCTGTACTCAAATAAAATAACTATCTTGCTGACACCAGGAAGCCTCTGCTGAAGCACAGTGAAGTAAGTATACCTTTGGCAAGACTAGGAAAGTTTAAGATTCATATTATTGCCAGCTGCTGTCTTTTTCAGGGCATTATGACATGACATTTGTTAGTACAGCAGCACACAGACAGACTAATTGATGAGGTTTCCTCATGATTTTAAAACTACCCTTTTTAGAAATTCAATGTGTCTTAAATTGGTAAAACATGTACTTGAAAGTCCGGAGTTCCTCATCCTTGAAGAGCAATCATATACCTTCTTACATAAGCACTTAAGACCTATAAAAGCACAGCTGAAAGTCTGTCTCCCCGATGAAAGATGAAGTGAGTATCCTTCACGGCTCAAGTAACAGTACACAGTTTGCTTGCATGTATCTTTATTCTATTCTGACAATTATGGATTTGCCACCTTTATGTGGTATATTTGATAATTTTTCAGGACACTTATGTCTGTGTTTCCTGCATTCTAATAGATGCCCCCAAAGCAATTAAGGGACAAGGACAGGGGGAAAAGTTAAAATTAGTTAGCTTACAGAAGCAGAACGAATGCAAGTCAAATCACAGTGGTGCTCTTTATTCAGGCTGTTTGGGATGGTGCATGTAAATAAGAGTTTTCTTGAAAGGGACAGCACAGAAACTTCTCATATACAGGCAACTGTCAATAAAACAGCTTTCAGCAGTCTAAAGAACTGTTCAATATTATAAAACATTTCTGTGAACTCTGTTCCCTCCTGAAATATCACTGTATTTACTTTCACAAAGACAACCTATATTTTATTTTTAAGTGAGAGAAATTTAATCAATAAACAGAAAAACTGAGAAACATTGTATATATATATATATATAAAATGTATATATTTTCACTAATACCTGTGGTTTATGAAAAAATATTTACAGACACAGCTCACAACTAGAGTTTCACATTAAAAACATTCAACTAAATATACTTTATATCCAAATAAAAATACAGTGAAGTCTCCTTTCTGAACTAGTTGAAGTCATACATATTTACTAATTGCTGCCAGGGATTCCTCAACTCAATCCAGGTCTAAGTCATACTTAAAAATCTCACTCTGTAACAGTAACTTGAAACTTCCACTAATTTAATATTCACAAAAAAGTGTCAAAACACCTTGTAGAGTTGAGCAGGATGGTTTTATTTCAAAAAGTATCAGCCATAACTTCAATGACTTTATTTATATAAATCCCAGATGAAACATATGAGATGAAAAACAAGAAGACTGTCACAGGAGTACCAAAATTTGCATAAAATGTGTTTACTCTTCCATAATTCAAAAGCCAATACAAATCAACATGTAGAGCACAGGATTTACTACTGTATCAGTTTGACTGTACTTCATCTGGATTATTCACTGCATTACCTTTTGAACAATCTAATTAAAGACGCTTAGATACTATGCTGCTTGTCATTATACTGTTTCTGAATGAAGTACAGAGAGAAGGTACTAAAATGCAAAATCTCACATGACACCGCTTGTGAAAAGTGTGGGGTTCATTACAGCTTTGCCATTATGTTAATGGATGGCAAGTGTTTGGATCCACGAGAGTAAACACTCAGTTCCTTGAGATCACAATGCTACTAAGGTTCTTCAAGTGTCTGTGGATTTGACACACTGTTCAAAAAGAAATTCTCTCAGTAAAGCAGCTATTCTTTTGAATTCATTATTTCATAATTGGTTGGAGGCGTGTGCTCACAAAGATTAAAATCCAAACACACTAATAACTTGGACTTCTTGAGTTGTCAGCTGCAAATGTCCATTTTTTCATGCCACTGAAACCCAAACTTTTGGCTAAACCAAACCAGCAGGAGAGTAACAATATCCCAACTGTTCACAGAAAGCTGCTGAAACTTATGGAAGTTAAAGCTTACTAGTTGAAGTGGGGAACAACTCAAAGGTTTCTTAAGGGCACAAATGTATCACAATACCAAGCCTTTAAGAATAATTCACACTTGCATGTGTATAACAAAAATTATTATTTCTATGGGGTTTTGTCAATATGAGCTTTTGAAGGGAATGACATTTATGCTGGAGATAGCATGATGAATTTAAGTGCTCCACAAATGAAGCTATTTCTAGTAATTTGAGGTATTGCTTAGGATTACAAAGGATGCAGTCTTTACTTGGAGTCTTTACTCCAGGATTGCCCCAAATGAAAAGTGCTTTCTTACATTCTTTCTTACTTTTCCTTTGTGGAAAAGCACATTACTCAAAACTGTACTATATTATATACTACAGTAAACAATGTAGTCATTTTATTTCTATTCATATTGGAGGCAGTTTGGCTATTAGTCTCTGTAGAAGGAATAAGATACCTTCATTCTACCTTTGCTGGTCAGTGGAAAGAAAAAACATGCAGGAAGTATAGGACAAAATCTTGAAAGAGATAAATGAACACATACAAAATAACTTCAGCTCATTTATGTACGTGAGTGAAAGAAAATATTACTACCTTTGATGAGACTATTCGGTTATCTGGAAATCTCTGTGGAATGTAGGCTTCAGTGCCTGGAGGTGGTTCACGATGCCCAACATAAATAGTCCGACTGTCCACCCAATTCTCTTCTCCAGCACACTATTGGGGGAAAAAGTTATTGTGTCAGTTCATTCAGTATTTCTGCAGTAAGATGAATTAACCAATCATGTACCTGATCATTAACACATACACAGCCACCAGTGCTGTGGTATAGTACAGAACATATTCCTAACACTTAGAGAAGCCCAGGCACCAGCAATTTCAACATCATCATATGGTCAATTTAAATATTTAAATAGTCATAATATTAAACTCAAACCCTCTGATTTGTGTTGTAACAATGCATTTACATATACTTTTGTTAAGCATGTTGGAGGCAAGATTCTTTTCTGCATCTTCAACAGCTACATCTATTTAGTATGTTAAATATGTCCTGAAAGTGCTCCTGGGCACTGGTGCTTGGTTGTCTGTCTCTATGGGTGAACTGTCAGACTGCTACCAAGGAAACTAACCCCAGACACAGAGCATGAGTTTGGTAGTTAATGCAGCCAAAGCATCATTCCCCAGAGCAGATGGATGTAGGTCAGCAGTTCTTGACAATAAGAGTTTAATCAGATAGACGTGGTACCCTCTTTTCTAGCTAGACTTGCTGTCAACAGTAACAGGTCCATTTACTTTACTAGTACACACTTAACTAATAAGTCTAAAATAAAATTTAGTTCTCAAACTTAAACATTTAACATTAAACATCTGAACATTTCCTTCATTAATTCGTTCCTATATGATTTTGCCACTGCCTTAAGTGCAACACAGGCAAAGACCAAACTTTCAACATAATTTATTGTTAAAATACACACATGAAATCCTGCAATACTCTGCAAATCTGGAGCAGTTAAGCTAAAAAACAATTATCTATGTGATGCACATGACTTTCTTGGGGGAGGGGGGAAAGGAAGGAACATAAAGAGAAAACCTACTGGACTCAGACTATTAAGCAAAGAATAGCTGAGTAGTCATCAAGTAAAATGTAAAGTGAAGTAGGAGGCTTAAAGAAAAGCAACTTCTGCTATCCCAGACATTTATACAAGAGGTAGATACAAAGGACCCTAAATTATTACTATTTCTTGCACATGACAAAAATGAAGGCATTATGTTCAGAAGATACCAAAGGGCAAAATTACAAGACTAGGCATAAAACTAAAACCAAAAAGTAAATCCAAAGTTTTCCTTGGCCATTTTAATGTATTATTCAATCTTCAAGAATTTGAAAGAGTCCAACATATTAAAGGAAGACAAGCTACTCATAAACGAAGTAAGGGTGACAGCCATTCATAAGACATGCCAATGGCTTAGTTAGAGCTTATGCTAAATTCTAACTGTCCCTGATTCAGTGGGAGTGCACGTACAACATTCCTCACGTGCCAGGTGTAGCATGACTTGAAATCAGGATGTGGGTTAGTTTAAAAATCACACTGTGTTTTCCAGCTAGACAGCTCTTCCCATATCACTGATTAGTCTTCTCACAATCCAAAGTAAAGTGCCACTTCTGAAGACCAGGTAGGATTCTTTGAGCAAACCAAAATAACTTGGAAGGAAGTAAAACAATGAAAATGTTTCTATATTACACCTTACTTCTACAAAATGAAAAAAAAATGCTATCTTTTACCATTTTATACACAATATTTTTTCATCTTGTCAGTGCACTGAATGTAAAATGCACACAAATTCTCTATTAACACTCTTGCCAAGTAATACTCCTAGAAATGCAAGGGAATGTGAGATATTCCTGTATAAGATGTTAAACTGTACAACATTTTTAAATTTTTCATAAGGATAGACATTACAGACATAAAAGCAACACAAAGATTACTCCTGATAAGTGCCAGAGTTCAGAGATGACTATGTAAAGGGCTAATGGGAATTCCACACATGAAACTTTGAACATCAAGAAGAAAGCCCTCAGCTTCTCCTTCCCTCTACACAGCCTGACAATTTATCTCTTGTATTTATTACAAACCAGTCCAAGACAGCTTGACAAGGCTGTTAGTTCAGAAAAACATTTTTTTAAAATTTCACTGTATAAATTGAATCTTTATCACAACTCAGTTAAAATGGGCCTCTGAAATTACCCATGAAGCTGCAAAGTACAAAAGACAAAGCTCTAAACAGCATTTTCCTAGCATCACCACGAGCTTTTACAGGTCTGATGGCCCTGGAGTACTGTGTCAACACTAAGTAAATCAATTTAATGTTGCACGCTGGAATTTATATCCCTAGAAAAAGGCTCTACAAAATTTACTTTAAGCATGGATATAAAACCGAGACAATCTCTTCTATTAGCTTAATTGGATCTGGTTTTATCACAAATTGATAAATTCACCACAAATGTACAAAACCAGATCTAACTTAATTTTAACTATCCACTAGCATAAAATTTTTTTACTTTTCAATATGTTAATGGAAGGTACAAAATAAATGCACTTTACTAACCTAAGTCAACAACTTCAAGCCTCCAAATCACTCACAATTCAAGTGTAAAAATTTAGCAGGAAAGAGTAAGGCTCTGTTTTCCAGTGAGGTACAAGCTCAGTGCATAAAGTAGCATGCATTATGCACTATGACCATCAGGAAACTCACTTGTGTGAAGAAAAAGATGCTTTTAGAAAAGCAGCACTAAGTCAAGACACAGGCCACTTAAAGAAATCAAAGCACACCAACTGAATGTTTGGTAATGCCAAGCTACAAAGACAACCATGCTGATCCAATGATTCTTTTAATGTTCAGGTACTGTACATGAGAGATGACTCACAGAATGACAGAGCAACTGAAAAAAGCAATCTGATACTGCTGTCAGAACAATGAACTATATTCACTTCTTTTTTTAAGTTCTATTCCTTTAGCCCATTAAGGATATGTCCAAGAAACCATAAATAAACTTTAGCATTATCTGCTTCTATTTATACTGTGAAGTTCAATGTACCGAGACCTAATTTCATTGGCACATCAATGAAGAAATGTTACTTAGCTTTTACTCTTTCAAGCAGGGTCAGCAGTACTGAAAGTAAAGATCAGCAAAAGACTAAGGCATCTTTATGTAACACTAAATAAGAGACAGTTAATAGGATTGTACCTTAAGAGTTAAAATATTAATGCATCTTTTTTTCTGATTAAAAAAAAAAAAAATCAAACTGAAACTAGCTTGAGATTCACCCTCATGCTACTCTGCTAATTTTTATCTAAATTTAAATTTAAACAAAAATATATTACCTGAAGAGACAAGGGGGTTGGCATTCAATGGGTGACAGCAAAAGGATGATAGGAAGGTACTAATGGTAGCTGCTGGAAAAGTAACTGACTTTGAAAGATTCAAAGCCTTTCCAGGTATTTTATAGTAATCAGATTTGACTTACAGTTTGAAATCAAGGGAAGCACTGAATTTATTTTCCTGACTCTCCACTTGAACTAATAATTTGGGCATAATTAGCAGCAACAATCTTTAGTTCAAAATTATATTTTCTCTCCAAATAATGTAAACACAAACATTACTCAGTTAAGTTAGTATGCATTAAATACAGCTGAAAACCAAGCTACAATCTGCTCTGGCCAGGCTGTAAATACACTTCATTGAACAATATTCTCTTCCACTTTTTTGCTAAATGCTTTCTCATTAAAACAGTACATTCTAAACACACATTCGACAGCAACAAATTCTCCTCATCAGCTATTACTGTGTTCACCCAGGCTGTAACTCCAGTTCTTTCACACAAATTCTTTACACCCATAGAGGGAGGCTTGAAACGCTATTTGATGTCAGTTAAGCAATTAGCACCATTGTTAAAACAATCACTTCAAAGTTTTAGGATGACAGAGATAAGCCATTATCACTTAGAAACTGCAGGAAGAACTAACGGTGCAGTGCGAAAAAACCTTCACACGTAAAATGTTTTGCTGGTATCTGTTGGGATATGTTGCAACAGCTCTGCACTAAATGTCCTTAGTTTTTAATATTTTATTCAGTGAAGAGTAAAATCTTCAATATCTCAGAAAGCTGTAATTAAAAAAACAATCAACTGTTTTTACTTTATAATATTGTAAGGAAACCATCATCCTTATCAGACACTATTTACCATGAGATCATATAGTCTCATCCCCAACTTCATTTCTCAAACATACTGAGTACCTCTTCTTTTACACTTGATGCCATTCTGCAGGTCAATGTGCAGCCCTCTCCCTATGCAAATAATGGTAGTGTGTGCAAATTTTTACCTAACCTTTAAAATTTCCATCAAATTCGCAGTTCTTTCAAAGATAAATCTGATCTATAAATCACAAAAAGTAGAATCCCTCTAAAGAAATGACAACTTTTAAAAAATCTGTTTTCTATAATTGCTAGTAAAATAGATTAAGAATTTAAATAATCCACTTTGAAAAAAAAAATCTGATTAATTTACATGTATTTCTTTGTGAAGGTAAAGTGTAAAATTCTCATCCACTTAAAGGGTCTCAGTAAGATTTAAAATGCTAGGAAAACTCAGACCTAGACAGGGAGCACTTAAGAGTTACATTTTGTTCAAAGCATTACATCAGCCCTCCATATGAATTGGTCAAGCTCAGAACGAAGTGTAAGTAAAACTTTAAAAGCTGTTAAAATTGTTCTTATATTTCATATGAATATAGAATGGCACAAAAAATAATTCATGTAATCATCAGACAAATTCCCTATCAGGTTTTATAATTAGAAAAAGGGCAACCTCAATATGATGCTCTGTAAGCAAATTATTTCAGGCACCTATAAGTCATATGGACATATGCCATTACATCTATAATTTAATGGAATACCAAAATGCAACACTTCAGAGGCAACCACAAAAAAAGCCAGAACAACTCTCTCCCAGAAACTCCTACAACTAATTAACACATTTCCTATGAAATATGTCACCCATAGTAGGATCTGTTGCCACAGAATATTTACTACTGCATTTCTTTTCAGTAAATGAATTAAAGCCTTGGATGATGACTTTCATTACAAATAACATTTGAAATCAAAACTCTCCCAAATCAATTGCCTACATATGACACAATGTTGTACCTAAGTATAT